TGATACAAAGACATTGTCTTTGAAGCAATGAAACAATAAAAGGCAGAACAATAACATATCCACTATGTTTTCTTTCTTCAATTACTTTACATACTAAAGTCTCTTTTAAATGTGTAGAGAGCTAAGGATGGTACACTATTTTTTCATATGGAATTACTTGGTTAACCAAGTTGACCTGTTGGTGTAATGTGAGGGGGTTGATTGCATCCACCTCAAAACAATCACCTGACAAGACATAAATAGAGTTTCTGTAGTTAATGGGTCCATCATTTCTCATCTAGAATACCAAACAGGCAAATCTCTGCAGTATAAGGAAAGGGCATGGTATTCAAGGTTGTCTGTGACCAAAGACAAAAAAATTGCAGAGTACAGGGCATAACCATGCCAAGTGTATAAAGTCTGCTTGGGGTTGATGACAGTGCAGACAGTTTTTATGGGATAGTTAAACCATTTTTTGCAGAACAGTTGGTGTTAGATATGTTTGGTGAATAATGTACAGTTATGTGAGTTTATTATTAACAGATAGAGATACCAACAAGTAGAATTTCCAAATATTGTCCCAATTTTCATTAATGTTTTCCACTTATCTTTACCAGTGGAGATGTGTCCACTTTGGAGGAAAGCAGTTGAAAGTTCAAGGTGGATGTTAGGCTTCTGGGATTTATGACAATCAGGAGGTACTGAGATAATCAAACATCCAAGGCCTCAAACTGAGTAGCTAAAGTGGAGCTCCACCCAAAAGGGGAAGTTCTGCTTTAAGATCTTCTCCCCCGCTCTTGTTTTTGAAATTGCACTTTTTACCTGATTATGACAGGTACCTGCTCCCACTTGTGCTCCAACCGCCTAGGTGATCAGAGTGGAAGTTCTCTCCCCCCTTCCCTCCCTGCAGTCTTCTGGGACTTGTCACAGGTCCCAAAGACTGTGAGAGCAATTAAAGATGTCAGTGCTGGAGACAGAAGACAGGAGGAGAATACAGTGGGGTGGGCACAACACTGGATTGTGGGACAGATGAGCGGCTGTTTATTAAAATTTAGCAGCTTCAGTTTTTGTAGTTGCTGACTTTTAATTTTTACACAGAAGACTGGAGCTCCTCTTTAAGCCATGCCTCAATTGTAAAAAGTGATATAAAATACTAGGAATAATGTATTTCCCATTAAATAAGGCATAGGTGCACTCTGGTAACACATGCTGTTAACATAAATATCAGACAGAGTCAATATCCCTCTGGCCCACCAAGCTGAAGTGTCTGGAATGGAGTCTAGCTAGGAAAGCATTGGGTTATCTCAAAACAATAAATTATCTGGAAGGTCCCCACAGGGTGCAATTTTCTTAACTTCCAACCAGATTGGCTTGGTTAGTCTGAGAACTGCAAATTGGGTCTGGGTTGCAAATAAGTTAGGATCCTCCAAATATACTAACAGTATCTAAATCTGAAGCATATGGGCTAAATTAGCTTCCATTGTAGGGATACTGGAAGAAAAACATTCAATCAAAGTGTTTCAATTGTCCAGCCAAGTAATATAGAAAAAATACCAGTTAAAGCCATACCTGCCTCTTCCTTAGATCTTCAGCTGGCATCCTGCAGTGTGTCACCCTCCCACATGTGTGAGGCTGGGGGGTAGGGAGGAGTGGTGCTTTGAGGGTGGGTTAAAGCAGGAGAGAGGCGGGAATGTGAAGGGCCGCTTAGGGGAGATGCAGGGCTGTAGAGTAGTAGGAGGGACGGGTCAGAGGAAGAGCAGAGCTGGCAGGAAGTGTCCCTTGTTGGGCTCTTAGGGACATCTGCCGCTCCGGGGAGACTCTTAGCCTTACCTTGGAGCAGAAGCTCCAAACATGCTTAGCAATGGCTCTGAGCTGGACACCCCTTTGCAAGGGATGCTCCAGGAGCTCTGGTTCCCATCCTGGATGGGCTCAGACTGCAGCTCAGAGTTGGGTCTGGGCAGCCCAGGAGCCTACAACCCTTGGAACAGCCAGTGTGGTCATCTACCAGTGCCCCATTAGTGCAGCCTCATCAGTGTCCACATCAGTGCAGCCTCATCAGTTTCCCCATCACTACCCCATATGTGCAATCTCATCAGTGCAGCCTCATCAGTGCCCCATCGGTTCAGCCTTATCAGTAGCCCCATCAGTGCCCCAGAAGTGCAACCTCATCAGTGCCCCATCATTGCAGCCTCATCAGTGGTCCTATCAGTGCAGCCTCACTAGTGCCCCATCAGTACAGCCTCACTAGTGTCCCATCAGTGCAGCCTCATCAGTGGCCCTATCAGTGCAGCCTCATCAGTGCCCCAACAGGGCAGCCTCATCAGTGCCCCAACAGGGCAGCCTCATCAGTGCCCAAAAAGTGGAGCATCATCAGTGTCCCTTCAGTGCAGTCTTATCAGGGCCCCATCAGTGCAGTCTCATCAGTGGCCCTATCAGTGCAGCCTCATCAGTACCCCATCAGTACAGCCTTATCGGTGCAGCCTCATCACCACACAGCAGTAAAGAAAAACTACTTATTTTGAAGAAAAAGGTTTTTTTTTTTCATTTTCAGTCTTTTCTTCATGTATTTAGTAACAAATAAAAAAACCCAGGTGAGGTGATTAAATACAACTAAAAGAAAGCTCTACCTGTCTCAAAAAAGATAAAAATGTAATTTGGGTACAGTGTTGCATGACCGCACAATTGTCCTTTAAAGTGTGACAGCGCTGAAAGTTGAAAATTGGGCAGGAAGGGGGCAAAAATAACCAATAGGCAAGGGGTTAAAAAAAACTGGCTCCTAACTTTTTTAGCTGGCTCCTAGATTCAAAGCAAATCTGTCAAGCCCTGTATTAGCATATGGTCTGTTATAAAATTGACACCAACCTATGGAATCCAAGACCGAAGCCAAATTTAGCAGTGGAAGCCTGAAGAAATTGTAATTCAAAAGAATCAAAGGTCTTGGCAGTATCAAAGGAGGCCAATGAGCAAGATTAAAGAAAACGACCAATAGGTTTAGCTGTTATTTGTGTTCTGTGGATGGAAAAGTGATACATTTCCTGGGCATGAAGCCCATTTGTTCCTCATAGAAAATAGAGCGATTAATGGAATTCAACCAAAGGGCTAGAATCTTAGCTAGTATTTTATAATCAGTGCTGAGAAGTGAGATGTGTCTATAAGGCAAACACTCCAAAGGATCCTTCTTTCGTAACAAAATGATCATTGCACCATTCATAGTGTAAAAGGTCTCCTCCTAAAGCTTGGCCAGGGCAGGGTTTAGAATATTTATATGGCATCAATAGATTTCTAGATAAAGGTTTTTACTCATATAAAACATGGTAGCTGTCTTAATTTTATGTTTATTTTGTCTCTTCATAATGTCCACATCTAGCAAGTTCATTTGGGCTTCCTTCAAATGAGAAAAAGGAAAATCCACAAGGTAGGCTAGAGTAGAGAAATACAGCCTGTCATAGAAGTCATGGAAACACTCAAGGACCGTTGGAGCTGTAGATACTACAATGCCTTTCCTGTTACAGATATTTAGGGTTGATGTGCTGGTATTCTGTTTTCTGGTTGAATGTGCTAATAATGTACTGGATTGATTTCCATATTCAAAGTACTGTTGTTCACTAAAGAATAATATCCTACTGGCATGTTCAAACATTCTAGAGACAGGACAGACTTTCCCAGCCCTGATGATTAGATTCTGATGGGACAGAAGTATAGATAGACTCTGCTGCAGAGTTCATCCTCTACTATCCTATAAGACCTCAGTTTGATTTTAGTGCCCCTCTAAGAAAAGCTTTCAGGCCATCCCAAAATAGCTCATCATCACTATGGGTCATCCAAAAACACACTCAATTGATCTAGCACCCTTTCATGAGGATCTATCAGCTCAAGTCAGAAGAGGAGTATTTTTCACTCAAAATTTACATCCAGGTTCTGAATGTCCAAATGTGTCAATATCAGTAAATGATCTGACACCACGTTAGTAAAATAAGTAATAGCTCATAATTGAGCCAAAACTCTGTTATTACTCAGGACAAACCATATACAGGAAAGATACCCCAATTTGGGGGCCAACTGGAAGTAGGACCTGGTATGTGGGATAGTACTGTATATCTCCATAGGTCTTTCCACCCTACCTCAGTTTACCACTGCCAAAACATAGTACTATATACTGTATGCAGCTGGTGCCATATGCAGTTTACACAGCTTTGACAGCAAGTGTATCAGTTAGTAAAAGAAATAGGTTGGTTGGGCCATCTTGGCTCAAATGAACTATTTAAAGTAAATATGAACATGTAGTTAGACTTTAAGCTGAATGTTTTTTGTATATATTATGATATACTAAATCGAGGCAGTAGGATGTTAAAATGTTTGTCAGGGCAAATGCTGCAGTACAGAAAAATACAAAATATTTGAGTAGTGCCTACAAATGTCAATCAGATGCAATAAATATTAAAACAGAAAAATTCCTGCTAGATTGGTTTTGATGCCACTCAAAGTAGAGGTGAAAGAATATCCTTGTGTCCCAGAATTTGGGGTGCACACACTTGTCCTAATACCAATCCAGAGTGCTAGTTGGTGTAAAGATTAGAGATGAGCGAAGTATTCAAAAATTCGATTCGGCTGATTCGGCGAATTCGAGGAATAAATTTGATTCGAGTCGAATATATTCGCTGCGAATTTAACTTATAAAAAGGGTGTTTCTAGGCTTCAGAGAGCCTTTATATTAGTGCAGAACACTGTACCTTTAATTTAAATGCCCTTGGAGTCTGCTGGGGAAGAGAAATAATAGTGTCAGTCAGTATGACATGCAGATGAGTGCCGTCGATCTTAGAATCACCGCACACTTCACTCATTTGGGCAGTCACGGGACCAAAACCAGAGTGTGGAGCCACAGTGTGAGCAATGGGAGGCCGTACAGGGACCCATGACACACTCTGGACCTGGCAGCAGCATGAGGAGGCGGTACGGGGGCCCATGGCAGATTACGGGCCTGGCAGCAGCAAATGGGAGGCCCGTAATCTGCCAGCACCCTATGACAAAATGGAACCCACCAGCAGTGTGAGGAGACCTGAAAGTGGCACATGGCAGAGTGTGTGGCGATGGAGACAGCAGCAATGGGAGGCCGTACAGGGACCCATGAGACACTCTGGACCTGGCAGCAGCATGAGGAGGGTACGGGGGCCCATGGCAGATTACGGGCCTGGCAGCAGCAATGGGAGGCCCGTAATCTGCCAGCACCCTATGACAAATTGGAACCCACCAGCAGTGTGAGGAGACCTGAAAGTGGCACATGGGCAGAGTGTGGCGATGGAGACAGCAGCAATGGGAGGCCGTACAGGGACCCATGAGACACTCTGGACCTGGCAGCAGCATGAGGAGGCGGTACAGGGGCCCATGACAGATTACGGGCCTGGCAGCAGCAATGGGAGGCCCGTAATCTGCCAGCACCCTATGACAAAAATGGAACCCACCAGCAGTGTGAGGAGACCTGAAAGTGGCACATGGCAGAGTGTGGCGATGGAGACAGCAGCAATGGGAGGCCGTACAGGGACCCATGAGACACTCTGGACCTGGCAGCAGCATGAGGAGGCGGTACAGGGGCCCATGACAGATTACGGGCCTGGCAGAAGCATGAGGAGTCGGGGGGCCCATGGCAGATTACGGGCCTGGCAGCAGCAATGGGAGGCCCGTAATCTGCCAGCACCCTATGACAAAATGGAACCCACCAGCAGTGTGAGGAGACCTGAAAGTGGCACATGGCAGAGTGTGGCGATGGAGACAGCAGCAATGGGAGGCCGTACAGGGACCCATGAGACACTCTGGACCTGGCAGCAGCATGAGGAGGCGGTACAGGGGGCCCATGGCAGATTACGGGCCTGGCAGCAGCAATGGGAGGCCCGTAATCTGCCAGCACCCTATGACAAAATGGAACCCACCAGCAGTGTGAGGAGACCTGAAAGTGGCACATGGCAGAGTGTGGCGATGGAGACAGCAGCAATGGGAGGCCGTACAGGGACCCATGAGACACTCTGGACCTGGCAGCAGCATGAGGAGGCGGTACAGGGGCCCATGACAGATTACGGGCCTGGCAGCAGCAGAGGAGTCGGTACGGGGGCCCATGGCAGATTACGGGCCTGGCAGCAGCAATGGGAGGCCCGTAATCTGCCAGCACCCTATGACAAAAAATGGAACCCACCAGCAGTGTGAGGAGACCTGAAAGTGGCACATGGCAGAGTGTGGCGGAGACAGCAGCAATGGGAGGCCGTACAGGGACCCATGAGACACTCTGGACCTGGCAGCAGCATGAGGAGGCGGTACAGGGGCCCATGGCAGATTACGGGCCTGGCAGCAGCAATGGGAGGCCCGTAATCTGCCAGCACCCTATGACAAAATGGAACCCACCAGCAGTGTGAGGAGACCTGAAAGTGGCACATGGCAGAGTGTGGCGATGGAGACAGCAGCAATGGGAGGCCGTACAGGGACCCATGAGACACTCTGGACCTGGCAGCAGCATGAGGAGGCGGTACAGGGGCCCATGGCAGATTACGGGCCTGGCAGCAGCAATGGGAGGCCCGTAATCTGCCAGCACCCTATGACAAAAAATGGAACCCACCAGCAGTGTGAGAGAGACCTGAAAGTGGCACATGGCAGAGTGTGGCGATGGAGACAGCAGCAATGGGAGGCCGTACAGGGACCCATGAGACACTCTGGACCTGGCAGCAGCATGAGGAGGCGGTACAGGCCCATGACAGATTACGGGCCTGGCAGCAGCATGAGGAGTCGGTACGGGGGCCCATGGCAGATTACGGGCCTGGCAGCAGCAATGGGAGGCCCGTAATCTGCCAGCACCCTATGACAAAATGGAACCCACCAGCAGTGTGAGGAGACCTGAAAGTGGCACATGGCAGAGTGTGGCGATGGAGACAGCAGCAATGGGAGGCCGTACAGGGACCCATGAGACACTCTGGACCTGGCAGCAGCATGAGGAGGCGGTACAGGGGCCCATGGCAGATTACGGGCCTGGCAGCAGCAATGGGAGGCCCGTAATCTGCCAGCACCCTATGACAAAATGGAACCCACCAGCAGTGTGAGGAGACCTGAAAGTGGCACATGGCAGAGTGTGGCGATGGAGACAGCAGCAATGGGAGGCCGTACAGGGACCCATGAGAGACTCTGGACCTGGCAGCAGCATGAGGAGGCGGTACGGGGGCCCATGGCAGATTACGGGCCTCAGCAGCAATGGGAGGCCCGTAATCTGCCAGCACCCTATGACAAAATGGAACCCACCAGCAGTGTGAGGAGACCTGAAAGTGGCACATGGCAGAGTGTGGCGATGGAGACAGCAGCAATGGGAGGCCGTACAGGGACCCATGAGACACTCTGGACCTGGCAGCAGCATGAGGAGGCGGTACGGTACAACAGGGGCCCATGGCAGATTACGGGCCTGGCAGCAGCAATGGGAGGCCCGTAATCTGCCAGCACCCTATGACAAAATGGAACCCACCAGCAGTGTGAGGAGACCTGAAAGTGGCACATGGCAGAGTGTGGCGATGGAGACAGCAGCAATGGGAGGCCGTACAGGGACCCATGAGACACTCTGGACCTGGCAGCAGCATGAGGAGGCGGTACAGGGGCCCATGGCAGATTACGGGCCTGGCAGCAGCAATGGGAGGCCCGTAATCTGCCAGCACCCTATGACAAAATGGAACCCACCAGCAGTGTGAGGAGACCTAAAGTGGCACATGGCAGAGTGTGGCGATGGAGACAGCAGCAATGGGAGGCCGTACAGGGACCCATGAGAGACTCTGGACCTGGCAGCAGCATGAGGAGGCGGTACAGGGGCCCATGGCAGATTACGGGCCTGGCAGCAGCAATGGGAGGCCCGTAATCTGCCAGCACCCTATGACAAAATGGAACCCACCAGCAGTGTGAGGAGACCTGAAAGTGGCACATGGCAGAGTGTGGCGATGGAGACAGCAGCAATGGGAGGCCGTACAGGGACCCATGACACACTCTGGACCTGGCAGCAGCATGAGGAGGCGGTACAGGGGGCCCATGACAGATTACGGGCCTGGCAGCAGCATGAGGAGGCGGTACGGGGGCCCATGGCAGATTACGGGCCTGGCAGCAGCAATGGGAGGCCCGTAATCTGCCAGCACCCTATGACAAAATGGAACCCACCAGCAGTGTGAGGAGACCTGAAAGTGGCACATGGCAGAGTGTGGCGATGGAGACAGCAGCAATGGGAGGCCGTACAGGGACCCATGAGACACTCTGGACCTGGCAGCAGCAAGAGGAGGCGGTACAGGGGCCCATGGCAGAGTGGCGCAGCAGCGTAAGCAGCTTAAATTGAAGGCCATACAGAGGCCTATGTTAAAAATAATAACATGTTTGGGGCATGATTCATGGCGGATTTAGTCAGTTGTGTCAGGAACTGGTGGTTTGAAATCCAGACTAATCCACGCCTGATTCATTTTCACAAACGTGAGTCTCTCCCACACTTTGGGTGGACAGTCGTGTCCTCCGCGGAGTTACAATACCTCCTGCCGCACTAAACACGCGCTCCGATGCCACGCTACTGGGCCGGGCATGACAGCCTTTCAAGGGCAAATTCAGCTAGTTGGGGCCAAAGGTCAAGTTTCGTTGCCCAGTAGTCAAGGGGATTGTCTACCTCGGTTGGCAGGGTGCTGTCCAAGTAGGCCCAAGCCTGTTGTTTGAGGTCCTGCTCCAGGTCCACCTGATGCTGCTGCTGCTGCTGCGGCTGGTTAGTAGTTTCCTCACTGCGCTGGTGAAGAAAGCTACTCATCATCGACTGCAGACTGAGGCAGCCGCTGCTGGTGGAGCTGCCACTGCTCCTACCACCCCACCCCCCCTCCCCTGCTGCCATGGCAGCGGAACGCGAGCGCACAGGGCCCACAGTGTCTGAGGATGGACGTTGGCGCAGAAAGGCAGAGACCAACTGACTACATAGGTGGTTTTTATATAGTACGTTATTTTGGCCTCCCTCTCAGCAGGTGTGAAAAAGGCCACCATTTTTGAACGGTAGCGAGGGTCCAACAAGGTGGACAGCCAAAAGTCATCCCTCTGTCTGATGGTTATTATTCGGCTGTCGCTACGCAAGCAACCGAGCATGCTATGGGCCATTTGTGCCAAGGAATGCGAGGGACTCCCTGCCTCCATCTCCACAGCATACTGCCACGGTGCGTCTGGTCCTCTGTGTCTCCTCCTCCTCCTCTACCAGATGCTCCTGCTCCTCCACTCCTGTCCGCTGAGTGGAAAAACCACCCATTTCACTCAATAATTCCTGAGAGCACCAATGTCCTCCTCTACCTCCTCCTCTCTTCTTCCTGTCCTGCCCCCACAGGGGTCATGTGGCGTTGAGATCTGTGCGCCACGTCTACCGCACCCTGACCAGCCATTGTTAACAGCATTTGTTCCAGGACGTGCAACAGAGGAATGACGTCGTTCATCCCATAGTCCTGCCGACTCACGAATAGCGTGGCCTCCTCAAAGGGCCTGAGCAAGCGGCAGGTGTCACGCATGAGCTGCCAATGGCTGACATCTAAGTTACACAGGGGAGTACCTTTATCCGCTTGTAACATCAGGAAATCGGTGATGGCCTTTCGCTGTTCGTAAAGGCGGTCTAACATATGTAGGGTTGAATTCCACCTTGTTGCAACGTCGCAGATCAGGCGATGCTGTGGAATTCCGTTCTGCCGCTGCAGCTCAAGGAGGGTGTGTGCTTTGCGGTGTAGGAATGGCTGAAATGCATGCATGCAAAGTTTACGTGACATTTTAAGGATGTCTTGCAGTGGGATGGTGGATTTTAGGAACCGCTTGACAACCAGATTGAACACGTGAGCCATGCATGGCGCATGGCACAACCTTCCTTGACGCAGAGCAGACACCATGTTCTTTCCGTTGTCGGTCAACATGGTTCCGATTTTCAGTTTGCGCGGAGACAGCCATCTGTCGATTTCTCTGTTCATTACACTCAGAAGTTCCTCCCCTGTGTGACTACGTTCGCCAAGGCATACCAGGTGCAGCACAGCGTGACACCGTTGCGCCCTGCACATGTGATATGCCGGTCGGGTAATGGGACTTGGCACGGGGGTGGCGGCTGAGGACACGGCGGAAGAAGAGGTGGTAGAGGCGGACATCTTTTGCTGGACCAAGGACGTGCAAACGTGGAGGCAAAAGCGGCGTGACCTGTCCAAGTTGCTGGTGCGGCTGTGCCGGCACCACGTTCACCCCCAGTGGGCCGTAAATGACATGTACTGTCCCTGACCGTAGTTACAGCTCCACACGTCGGCGCTGCCGTGCACTTTGGCAGAGACCGACATGCTCAAAGACTGGCCCACCATCTCTTCTACATGTGAATGCAGGGCAGGGCTGGCACTGCCTTTTTGGCGAAGAAATGCCGGCTTGGCACTCTCCACCCGCGGCGCGGCACAAGCCATCATTTCTCGGAAAGGTGCTGAGTCCACCACTTGGAAAGGGAGGGACTGCAGCACCAGCAACTTGGACAGGAGGACGTTCAGCTTTTGCACCGTCGGGTGCGTGCTCGCAAACTGTTGTCTCTGGAAACGGATTCCAAGAAAGACTGCTGACGGAATCCGTGAAGAGGAGTAGCAGGAGAAGGAGCATCTGAACGAGCGGAAGATGCCAACGAGCGACAACTCCCCTCAGCAGAGGTGTTGGAGCCTTGACTGGCTGATAGAGGGCGATTGACGTCGGGTGACGGAGCAAGTAACGGAGCGGGTGATGGAGCGGGGGGGCTGGGGCAGGCAGAACCGCCGTATCTTTATCACGGTTTTCCCAGGCCACCGAATGGCGACGCTGCATATGCTGACGCAACGCTGTAGTCCCAACATGGGCCCCCTGGCCACGCTTGACTTTCTGGCCACATAGTCGACATACGGCTACGTTTACTTCCTCGGGGCGGCTTGACGAAAAAAATTGCCACACCGCGCCGAGTAGGAAACTTTGCCCCCCGCTACTCCTCACTGGCTGACTGCTACTTCCTCCGTGCACACCCGGCACCACTACTGGCCGTGGTGGGTAGGCTGCAGTGGAGCTGGTGCTCTACTCTCTCCCGTGGCCGTTTGCCTCCACTGACACTGCTGCGACCCTGCTGCCTCCTGGGCAACCCACCGACTGTTTTTTGCTCGCTGCCAAGCTGGCACCCTCTTCTCCTGATGATGCGGAAGCAATAGCCTGATGACGACGAGGCTGCCAAGTGCGATCAGCCTCATCATCATCAATTAGGGTCTCCGCCTCACTACTACTAGCCCCCTCGGCTGCGTGTGGGGGTCAGGAGACAGACCTGTCTCTAGACCGGCTACCGAGCCACTCTCCTCGCCAGTACTTCTTCGCCTGGCTGCTGAAGAGGCGGATGTCTCCCCCCGTTCCTGACCGCCCTCTGTTAGCTCTTCCTCACTGTACAGTGGGGCTGAGCCCACAGCATGCGATACTTCGCTTGGTGAGGGAACACCAAAGGACAGGGGCAGGTAGAG